GGGGGGGAAATCACAGCTCTGTGTATGTGTGTGTGGTGGGAAATGAGGGGCTCACATCTGGGGGTTTCTGTGTGGATGGCAGCCAGGGCACTGGGCAGGGCTGGCATAGGGCACACTGCTCACTGCACAGCCGGGGTGTGTGTGTGTGTGGATTGCAGGGCACTGGCGTGGGCAGACAAATGCACATGGAGAGTGTCCAGACACACTGGGCCTTTCCCGCCGGCCCTTCCCAAGCCCCTGGGGCTGCAGCCGGTGCCCCGGCTCCGTGTGGTAGTTGCTGCAGGAGCGTGTGTGCGGGCGGGCAGGGGGAGGGGAGGCTTCCCAACAGTGTCACTGGGCAGCAAACCCTCTTTCTCCCCTTAGAACTCACCAAAGATATTCGGGGCAAAAATCCTCAACCACCTGCTGCTGTTTATTAACAAGACCCTGGAGCCCCACCTGGAGATCCTGGGCAGCTTCCGGGCTGCTGCACCCCCGTTCAGGGGCCAGGTAACCAGCTAGTCACGTCCCTGGCAGCGGGTCGCTGACCCTGTGAGCTGCAGCATGCCCCACTCACCTGGCCTGGCAGGGCCAGGCAGGCTGCTCCCAGCTGGCAGGGCTCTCGCCAGGGCTGTGGGACACCAAAGCCTGGTTGGCATGCACGCACCATGGGCTGGCCTGGCTGGGCATGTGGTCGATTCCCTTAAGCTGAGAGCCTCATCCCAGCCCTGGCGTCACCGCTCGCTCGCAGCCCCAGCGCTGGGAATGGGAGTGGTTCCTTTTCTGGGCCTGGCTGGTTCGGGAGGGGCCCTGCTCCTTGTGGGAGTGGGGCCCCGGCTCCAATCCTGGCCCAGGGTGGCCGACAGGGAGAGTGGGGGTGTCAGGGAAAGGACAGGCTCAGATGTGCACAGTCCCAGCGCAGGCTCTGTGGGGCAGCGAGGGGCATGGGGAGCTCTCAGTCCCAGCACAGTCTCTGTGGGGCAGCGAGGGGTGGGTGGGGGGCTCGCAGCCCCAGCACAGGCTCTGTGGGGCAGTGAGGCAGTGGGGCAGTGTGTGGGAGCTCTTGTTCCCAGCACGGGTCTGTGGGGCAGTGAGGGAGCCTGCGGAGCAGGGGGCTCTCAGTCCCGGGCTGGGGAGGGCACTGTCAGGCTGGTCTGGGCTGCGGCTGCCCCACGTCTGTGCCCCACTGTAGGTTCTCTTTGTGCTTATCGACGTGAACGGGGAAGGCGCCCAAGTGCTGCAGTACTTTGGCCTCAAGAGCCACGAGGCCCCCACTATGCGCTTCATCAACATCGAGACCAACAAGAAGTACCGCATGGCCACGGATGAGTTCGCCACCCAGGCTGTGGGCTCCTTTGCCCAAGCTGTGCTTGACGGCAAGGTCCAGGTGCGCACAGCAGCCATGCCCAGGGCTCAGGCCCGGCCCATCCCTCCTGATAGCAGGGAAGGGAGCATTGCCATTTGCAGGGGTGGGGAGAGCTGAAGACCATGTGCCACCACCAGATTAAGTGAGGGCAACCCGAGGGCCCTGGCCACATTCCTTCTGTGCCCCGAACCTGCTGCCATCCCAGCCCTAGCTCCTTTAATGCAGAGCACTTCCCAGCTGCTGTGTAGTGCCCCACTGAGATACAGCCACCTCTGTGGGGAGAGGGGCACCTGAGCAGGGGCGAGGACAGGGGGCAGATCCCATCCCGTCCCCTACAGAGAGTCCTTGCTGGGCTCTCACCCAGTCCCGCAGAGCAGATCTTGGTTTCCCAGCCAGCAAACACCAGTGGACTCCCTGACTTCCGGCAGCAGGACAATAGCTGGGTTGCCCATGCCAAGATCTGAATCTTTGGCTCCAGGGGGTTCGTTCTTAGACCCCCTTGCGATGCAGCTGGATCACTCAAAAGGGACCTTTTTGACCACTCACGCAGACGTTCCCTTTTGTGTGACGTTAGCCTGGAGGGCAGCGAGCGGTGTCTACTGTATTAGGAATACCGAGCACCCTCCTCTGCGCTCCGCGCTAGCGTTGCAGGGCCAGGTGCGGGGAACCGGGTGTGAGGCCTGTGCAAGCCTGTGTGGCACACACACACAGCTCAGAAGTTTGCAGCCATAGCATCTCTTCGCAGCACTCTCTGGAAGTGAGTTAGCAAACAGCACACACAGCCCCTCCCTCTCTCCACAGCCCCATCTCATGAGCGAGGAGGTCCCCGA